TTGGCTGCCGTTGATGATCGTTTCTATTTTTTATTTTTTATCTTCCTTTTCTAGTCAAACAATGTAAAAGCAAGACTTGTAAAAGCAAGGCCATGAGTTTGGTAGGGTTCAAGCGATGTGCAAGTGTAAAGCACTAATTCTCCTCTCATTTCCGTACGTGGAAAAAACTGAAGGTCACACTGTTTGAGATTCTCCAACTTTTTCCACAAATCAAGAAATCTCTTAACTTTTCCACAAATCAAGAAATCTGCGTCAAAATTTGTCTGATCAAAATGGTTGGTGTAGAAAATCAATAGGGCAACAAATTGGTAGCCACAATCCCCGCCTCAAACTTATCCAAAAAAATAAGGCCAGACTATTTGCATTCCTACCATACAATCTGCCATGGGAGGCAAAAATAGAACAGAAGGTAGTACAACGGGAGACTGTAGATTTAACTTGCAGATTTTTTTGATACATCCTTGCCAGTTACTACCATGTTATCACTTATCTCACTCTTACATTCGCTGGTCATTGTCATCTATTTTAAACTTGGAACCTGACGCCATACATGCATTGATTTGTGACATCATTATTGTCAAGACACGACACTCCTACAGTAGAGTTTGAAATTCTATTAACAGCTGTCTTAAAGTAAATGAGGTGTCGTTAATTCAAACCTCTTTTCTCGTCCACTCTACCTTTTTGCTGATCTTTGCGAAGCTCTTGTTTTATTTTATGTTTTCCCAGTGCTGTTGCTTGGCGTGTTAAGTTGAACGCGATAGCTTGTGCAAGAATTCCAGGGTCAGTGAATTTTTGGTATTTCTAACATGTTTCACACACACAAATATATTATATATAATTCTAGGATATGTACAATGTTTGAAACGGAGCACCGAGACTCGAAACATTTCGTTCCAACAAAAAAAGCTTTGAATGCATCCTTGCATGGACGACTTTGAATGGAAGAAGCAGCATATAATAATGGAATTCTTCTTATTTTATTCTTTCTACACTAAGAATTAAATTAAGGTCCAAGCTCAGTTGCAAACTTAAGCAAGCCTAGAAAAAGAGCCCAGCCCAAGAAATGGTGGCAAATTGTCAGCTAAATGAGGCCCAACTTCCGACTCTAAATGGCAAATGCTGCAACCAAGTTGGACCAATTACCTGCTGAGTGCTGTCGGTTTGTTCTATGGTCCCTTCATTTATTTTGGGCCATCAAGTTGTCTTTTCATGACTGTCGTTGCATTGTTAATGAATCGGACTGGGCCCAACTTGACGCTTGATAATTCCCTGGATGCCCACCTCTTTCTTTCGTTCTAGCTAATTCTACCAAACGCGTGAAAGGACCGTCGATCGCGAAACGTAGATTGCTTGTCCAACGTTGTGAATAACAGGATACTCCAAGTTTGAGAGTCGAAAAGTTTTATAAAATGTTTGTAATTTGGGTGTCCACAAATTTTATAAAATGTTTTTGATTGAAAAAAAAAATAGAATGAAAAATCCCACTGGTCTTTCCATTTATTCTTATGTGGATCAAAGACAATAAAACGATCTAACTTTGACTTGTTTTACATTTTTGTATTATCTTTTTTATTGTTATTATTATTGCTGCATTTATGCTAAGGAATATTCCAAAGATAAATAAATAAGATATTTTGGGTCTTTTGTAGTTTTATTCCTTTCTATTTTTCTCCAATAAAAACAAGTCCAGTGACCAACTCAAGAAGTGGTAGGAATTAATAGATTCATGATATATCTTATATCCTAAAAATTCAAGGAATTAACCAGATGGCTAAGATGGTTTACTTTTTTTTTTTTTTTTTTTAATCTATCTTTTGGGTTCTAACCTTGAGAACAAAGCCTACAAAAATTTATTAAATTCATTTGAATGTATTAAATAGATATGAAAAATACATTTTAAAAATTGTTTGAAAAAGACTCAATAGCATTAACGAAAGCTATAAAGGTCAATTGATTCGTCGATGTATCTTATATCCGATTAATAAAATTTCAAGAGATTGATTTAATGTTTAAAGAGGTTTGCCTTCTTTTTTAAAAAAAAATCTTTGGGGTTCGGATCCTGAGAACAACACTTGTGAAAATTTGTTAAATTTCTATGCATGTACTAAATAAACGTGGGAAATATGTTTTTAGGATTGTTTGGAAAATTTTTAAACTTTGATCGGTGTGCAAGTTGGTTTGATGATACTCTTACCCTAGAACAAAAATAATATTGAATTAGTGTTATTTTTTAGTTTCAACGTAGATAATAACCTAGTAGGAGATCCCTCTTGACTAATTTATGGTTAGGAAACTAATAATAATTGATATTGGATGTATGATCAGAATAAATATTTGTGCATAATAAAGAATAAATACGAGTAAATCACTCTATCTCGTCATTTTCATCTACCGTAAGAAAAATAGTTTAATGACAAAAATTATAATCAAACTATTAGGTTATAGCAATTTAAAGTTTTTATTATCAATCCGAGTTATCTTAAACACCCAAATTATTTTTTTAGACAAATATTATTTTTTTCTCCATTATATTTGATGGTCAAATAGTTGGCCGTTAACTTGAATGATTAATCGATAATGTTTAATTTAAGCATTTCAGATTTTTTTTAATGATAAAATTACTCTCAAACTATTGAAGTCAAGACAACTTAAGGCTTTTTCTGCCAATTTAGGTCATTTAAACCCTAAATTATTATTTTCTAAATAAATATCATCCTTTTTTCATTATTTGATATAGTCAAATCGTTGTTCATTAATTTAAATACTTAAACGAAATTGTTTAAACATTCCAATTTTATTTATTTATTTATTATTAATTTAAAAAAAAATAGCTATTAAGAGTGACATGTCTTAATAAATGATACTATATCATCTTAAAACACTATTAAATTAACTAAATTAATTAGATTGAACAAAAAGAGAGACTAGACAATTAAATTGTTGTTGTGATTACTTCTGTAGCTTATTTTTTTACTATAATAATATTTCTAGCCTAGTTTATTTCTCATTGCCCCCTCCCCCCTCTCTCTCGTTTTTTGCTACAAGCTCTTGATTATATTGATTACAACCTCTCTCTCACTCTCTTTTCTCTGTTCAGTTAAACTAGCTCAATTAATATAATAATGTCTTTGGACGACATATCGTGACATATATGGATTACGTATTATCGCATTAATCATCATTATATATTGTCTTAGTATATCACGATATATTATCTTAAAACAATATTAAATTAATTGAGTTAATTGAACTGAATGAATAGAAAAAAAAAAGAGAGAGGACGCAATCAATTTAATTAAGAGTTTGTAGCCAAGAGCAAGAGAAAAAATAAAATATGAACCGAGCTAGAAAAAAATTATTTTTACTTTGCAAAAAAAAGAAGAAATAAAATAGAATTATTTAAAATCGTTTAAGCATTCAAGGTATTAATGTTTAAATTATAAAAAAAGAACAAAAAAAATATAATATTTGTTCAAAAATAATAGTTTAGTATCTAAATGATTCAATTTGGATGTAAAAATCTTAAATTGACATGATCCAATAGTTTGGATTAATTTTTGCTATTAAAAAAAATTAAAATATTTAAACGATGTGGTTTAAACATTTAATTTATGGCCAACACTAATATAATGAAAGAAAAATAATATTTGTTTAAAAAATAATATTTTGAAGTTAAATAATTTAAATTAATAGTAAAAACTTCAAATTATCATAATTTTAAAAATTTGACCATAATTTTTGCTATCAATCCTAAGAAAAACATAATTTTATAGCTGAGGTGCATTAATTGTTCGTGCGTCATGGAGGAAGAGAAGCCACATATATCAGCAATTCTATCATTGTTAGGCTGTCGACACCATGAAATGCACCATTCATTAGTTGCTGCTAACGGTGGGCTGCTTTGACTGTCCGTTGATGATCTTTTTTATTTTTTTCTTTTCCTTTTTTAGTCAAACTTGCAAAAGCAAGGCCGTGACTTTGGTAAAGCTTTTATGCATAGCAACAATTGCTTCAAGCGATGTCCAAGTGCAATGCACTAATCTCCTCTCATTTCTGTCTCTGGAAAAAACCTTGAGATTCTCTTAACTTTCCCACAAATCAAGAAATTTGCGTCAAATTTTTGTCTGATTAAAAATTGGTTGGTGTAGAAAATCATCGGGGCATCGAATTGCTAGCTACAATCCAACCTCAATTGTTTCTTCAAGACGTAAAAGAGCCAATGGATCAGAATTCAGTTCATTCGATTCCAAAAAGAACCTAACATTGTTCTTGATTCTTTTTTATTTACTATTGTAATGCTTCACTTCTTTCGAAGAAATTGAGGTTTCAAGATCAAATCCTTACCTCTCATATGATTGATACGATGTTGTTTTACAATATTCAAACTTATCCAAAATAACATGGAAAGTTAAGGAGTATCATTATCCTTACCGCTTAGGAGAGTTCCGTGAACAAATTCTAATGTAGTTCATTCTTGAATCGCATTCGAACACAACTTGTGGCTTGTGAGCCTTGATAGACAGACGCATGAAATTGGGATTAAAAAAAAAAAAAAAAAAGAATAACTCTTCTAAGCGCACCCAATCACAGAGAAAGTCTGAAAAAAATCTCTCATGCTGACAACAAAAACCATACCTTTCTTCTTTTTTCTCTTGAAATCAAAATCAGCAAAAGAACTCCACTATCAAAGCACCCAATAAACAAAAAGTGCTTTTGGCACAAGCAAGAGGGAAAGAAAGAAAAAACGTCTCCTCTCTCTCTCAACACCTGGAATCTCATTCTCTCACTCTTGTCTCTCTTCTTTGAAACAAAAACCCTAAAAAGCCAAAATCAAAAAAAAAAAAAAAAAAAAACACACACCCAAAATCCCACACTAACCCCACACTCTCTCTCTCTACACAGTCAGTCATACCTGTCGCCTTCAGTTGCGACTTTTACACCACTTACATTCATTTCTCTCTCTCTCTATATAAATATTAGGTTTTTGTTTTTCAAAAATGACTTCTTCTAGCATTAAGGATACGACGGAGGAGGAGCAGAGTGCGACGGAGATTGTGCCGGCTGAAGGTGGTGGTACTACTGGTAGTGGAGGAGTGGAGAAGGCCGAGCCTGTGAGTAGTGGCGGGGAGGAAGAGAGTGGTAGTGTTGGTGAGAAACTCGACGATCCAATGGAAGAGGACTCGGTGAGTCCGGCTACCGTGTTTTGTATCAGGCTTAAACAGCCACGGTCGAATTTGCTGCATAAAATGAGTGTGCCTGAGCTTTGTCGCAAATTTAGGTGAGTTTTTGATAGAAATTTGGTTGTTTGATGTTTAAAGTTGTGGCTTTTAAGTGAAATTCGATGTGGGTTTGGTGTTCTTTTATTTTTTATTTTTAGATTGTGGGTGGTCTAATTGGGGCCTCCTTTTTAGTGGAATTTGAGTTTATTTTAGACAATTGGAGTGAGTTGTGATTGTTTTTAGGATTCTTTAAGATTATTTTTGAAATAAGACAAAGTTCTTGGTTCTTCAAGTGAATTTTGATGGGATTTTAGTGTTTATAATTTTATGAATGGTACAATTATGGTTTCTTTTAAGTTGGAATTCAGTTTCTTTTGCACAAATTTCAGTGTATTGTGATTGATGTTAAGTTTCTTCAGGAAGTTTTTGAAATAAGGCAAGTGCTTTATTTGGTCCTTCAAGTGAGATGTGTTTGTATGTAGAAGTTGTTTAGTGTCTGAAGTTGTGGTTTTTTAAGCGAAATTTTATGAAGGTTTAGTGTTTTTAGTCGGTTGATTGGAGTACAGGCCCTTGTTTTAGTCGAAATTGAGTTTTTTCTTTTGCAATTTGGGTTCATTGTGATTGATTAAGGCTCTTTTACTAGCAAAATGCTTTTTTTTTTTTTTTTTTTTTCCAGTAGTTTTATGGAAGTTGTGTTTTTTATTGGTTTTAACTTCTAGGCATCAATGGTTTTTGCCTCTAATCTTTAGATTTCCTTGGAGTCCTCGAACTGTAATTTATGCTTTGATTTTGTTGGTTTTTAGTGTAGGAAGTGGAAGTAAGAAAATCAAGTTTGAAAAAATAGGATAGAGAAAGAGAGTTTTATAAGTAATTAGTGGATATTTACAGGATACAATGAAATTGGTGAAGTGCTAACAACAAAGAAGTCCACCATCAAGTTATTTGGTATATACTATATATATAGAAGCTTGGTTTTGAGTTTTGATTAAATATTGACAATCACCATCTTCACACTTGTAATAGGGTGATTAGTCTTTCTCTATGCAATGCCTAGTGTCGACCTAGTATGAGAATGACGTTTTGTTGCTGAAAAAATAAGGCCAGACTATCTGCAGTCCTACCATACAATCTGCCATGGGAGGCAAAAATAGAACAGAAGGTAGTACAACAGCAGATTGTAGATTTAACTTGCAGATTTTTTTGATACATCCTTGCCAGTTGCTACCATGCTATCTCACTCTTACATTCACTGGTCATTCTCATCTATTTTAAACTTGGAACCTGATGCCATACAACAAGCATCACAGACTTTTAGTTGCATGCATTGATTTGTGACATCATTATTGTTAAGACACGACACTCCTACTGTAGATTTTGATATTCTATTAACAGCTGTCTTAAAGTAAATGAGGTGTCGTTAATTCAAGCCTCTTTTCTTGTCCATTCTACCTTTTTACTAATCTTTGCGAAGCTCTTATTTTATTTTATGTTTTCCCAGTGCTGTTGCTTGGTGTGGTAAGTTGAACGCGATAGCTTGTGCATCAGAAACTTGTGCAAGAATTCCAAGGTCAGTGAATTTTTGGTATTTCTAACATGTTTCACTTTAATAGGAGAGAGAATTTGCTATATATAGTTGCCAATCAGGCTTTTCTATAAATATGCTAATGTGCTTGAGAACAGATGTTGAAACATAATTGATATTCTTATTGTGAACTACTTAGGATTCTTCTAATAAACTAATAAAAAAAAAATAAAGAGTGTACCCAAGAGGGACTCGCATCTTTCAATTTATATTTTAATATCATTATTTGCTATTTTTTTTCGTAGCTCCAATGCAAACCCACCATTTTGGATCCCCATACATGTTGTTATCCCTGAGAGACCAACTGAATGTGCAGTTTTCAATGTCATAGCAGGTATTTTGAGTCACCTCGGACCTTTTGCCATATCTTACAGTTTCAAAGTTTATATTAGTTATGTATGCCAAGTGTATTTCATTCATCTATTATATGGTAGATTTCACATTGATTTATTGGTTCCCTCTTCCTATTGGCTCTAATTTCCCAAATCATGAGTTATTGCATTGAATCTCTTTGCAGATTCTCCTCGTGATTCTGTTCAGTTTATCGAATGGTCCCCTACGTCTTGCCCTCGTGCATTATTAATAGCTAATTTTCACGGGAGGATAACTATCTGGACTCAGCCTTCTCAAGTAAGCTAACTTGATTGCTTTTTTAAGCCTGGATGTATAATAAGTAGATGCCCTTTTCCACTCACTAGTTCTTAACTAAGTTTTTCATGGTTTGCTGAACTTAAGAGGTTTGGGGCTGGCCCTGTATTGGTTTTTACCCGTTGCTCTCTTTCTGTGTTATAGCATCCCACTTGCTTATAATTTTAAAGTCTCTTCTAGCTTATATCTTATCTTGTTATGCAGGGTCCGTCTAATTTGGTACGTGATGCTAGCTGCTGGCAGCGTGAGCATGAATGGCGACAGGATATTGCAGTTTCTACGAAATGGCTAGCCGGTGTCTCTCCAGTATGCAGTTATTATGTTTTTGTTATCTGATTCTGAAATTATCCATGAATTTTGCTTTGCACATGTGGTAGAAGTTTGGTAGTCATCTATGTTTTTCAGTTTACTGGTTCGTCTCTGTTGATCTTCATGATATGTTGGTATTTAGTTATGCTTCCGTTGTAATCTGACTTCTCTTAAAAAATCAGTATAGGTGGCTTTCGTCAAAGTCCAGTACTCCCACAAACTCAAAGTCAGCTTTTGAGGAAAAATTCCTTTCTCAGCATTCTCAAACTTCAGGTTTGCTTTCATGATATCTCTTTATAAGCGTTTGTAGAAGCTCATGTGGGAGCTTTAGGCCCAGTTTTATTTTCTGCCTGTAATGTGTGAAATTTGGGCTGTGCCTTCTGACTGGCAACTTAACATCCAGTGAATTACACCATGCTGTTGTTGCTTTGAGAAAAAATAGTTGGGATTATTTTCTGACTAGCTGTAAATTTAGAATGGCAGTTTTGTTGCTGTTTTTGCAATGGTTTTATTCATACTTGCATCAGCTTCTAACTACGATATCGTGAATGTTTTTACAAAGATCCAACGTATGACAAGCATCAAAACTTACTTGTAAAGTGAGAATTATTGCAATTATTGCATTATTGCATTATTTTCTGCCATTTTTTTTTCCTAATCACAAACTAGTGCTTTTAACTGACTTTTGGTCACTGCAGCTAATGCTAAATATTGCAATAATGATGATGATACTTTTGGTCTTCTGTTCTTTCCACTTTTGAAATACCTCCACTTGACAGATTAAAACAGCACCAAGACCATCACTAACTTGCCTTTTGGTTTTCTTTCAGCTAGATGGCCAAATTTCCTTTGTGTTTGTTCTGTTTTCTCATCGGGCTCTGTTCAACTTCATTGGTCCCAGTGGCCCCCTAGCCAGAATAATTCATCACCGAAGTGGTTTTGCACAAGCAAAGGACTCTTGGGTGCCGGCCCTAGTGGGATTATGGCTGCTGATGCTATTATAACGGATAGTGGTGCTATGCATGTTGCAGGTGTTCCAATTGTAAACCCTTCAACTGTTGTTGTTTGGGAGGTTACTCCTGGCCCTGGAAATGGATTTCAAGTGACTCCAATGGCTAGTGCTAGCAATGGGGTCCCACCTTCAGTTAAGCCACCCAATTGGTCAGGTTTTGCTCCTTTGGCTGCATATTTATTCAGCTGGCAAGAGCATGTGATGTCTGAAGCAAAGCAAGGGAAAAAGCATGTGGATCAAGATTTCACCACTGCTGTCTCACTTCATTGTTCGCCAGTTTCAAATTTTTCTGCATATGTGAGTCCTGAGGCTGCAGCTCAATCTGCAGCAACTACTACTTGGGGTTCTGGAGTCAGTGCCGTTGCTTTTGATCCAACTCGTGGTGGCTCTGTGATTGCGGTTGTTATAGTTGAGGGTACCTAGCAGTATTCTGACTTGAAATTTTAGTTTCTGCCAGCTCCATGTCTTTTCCATAACAATCCTCTTTCAGTGTGTCTGCGTGTTTTTATAATTGGTGTGATTATGCTTGTGCAATAGTGTCCTGGGCTCTCTTTCTCCCTCTACTCAAATTAATTCTCATACTCATAGAGAGACGTGAGGCCTAACTTCCATGTTGAGTCAGCTGAAGATCCCTTTATATGCCAACAGCTATCTGGATTCAATATTTAATAACTGGTTTTATGCATGCAGGACAGTATATGTCCCCTTATGATCCAGATGAGGGTCCTTTAATCACGGGATGGAGGGTGCAACGCTGGGAATCGTCCCTTCAACTTGTTGTTCTTCATCCAATATTTGGAAATCCCACTTCTGGTTTTGGTGGGCAAGCACCAATGCAAACTGTATGGGTGTCCAAAGTGGATACAAGCATACCACCAACTAATGATTTTAAAAATCACCAAGCAGCTGCTGCAGGACCAATCTCTGATCTAAGGAAGGCATCTGATTCTGGTGCTGATAAGACAAAAAGAATGACCTTTGATCCCTCTGATTTGCCTAGTGATGTTAGAACTCTTGCTCGAATTGTTTATTCTGCTCATGGTGGCGAGATTGCTATTGCTTTTCTGCGGGGTGGGGTTCACATTTTCTCTGGGCCAAACTTCTCACTCGTTGACAATTACCAGATTAATGTCGGATCTGCAATTGCTGCTCCTGCCTTCTCTTCCACAAGCTGCTGCTCGGCTTCAGTTTGGCACGACACTAGTAAGGATCGCACTTTATTGAAGATAATTCGTGTTCTTCCTCCTGCTGTTCCAAGTAGTCAGGTGAAGGCTAACTCAGCAATCTGGGAACGTGCTATTGCTGAGAGGTACTTATTTGGAGTCATTTGTTGGGATTTCCTTTGGAAGTCCACTTATTAGTGGTTATGGACATTTCAATTGGTTAAAAATCAGATGAAGGTTGGATGTGCAGATAATTTCAACATTCTGCTAGGTCATACTGATATTGTGTTTTGCCAGAGCAGGTTTTGGTGGAGCCTTTTGGTTGGAGTTGATTGGTGGGATGCTGTTGGCTGTACACAGAGTGCTGCTGAGGATGGCATTGGTAAGAATAATTAGATTCTCCAGAATTACTGTGGCTTATAAAAAAGAAAATATATTGAAGAACAATTTCTTTCCAAGGATTCCTTTTCAAGATTTATTTGCAAGTAACATGAATCCATGATGACATCTTCTGTTGATGGGTGGTTCTTTGTTTCTTTTCAGTTTCACTTAATAGTGTCATTGCAGTCTTGGATGCGGATTTTCATTCTCTTCCTTCTACCCAGCACAGGCAGCAGTATGGTCCTGTATGTGTTTCTGCACTATTGGCATTTCTTTTGAGATAGTCTGCCATTACGATATTTTGAATTACCATACTGAATGAAGTGATCCAATTCTTTTTATATTTGCAGTTCATTTTTCTGAAATTTGCCATGTCAAAATCTTTTTGTAATTTGTTTGGAAATAGTCTGTGCCGTTGTGGTCTTTTTTTCTCTCTTCTTTTTTTCCAAAATCAATTTCTAATTTCAATAGTGAGCAAGGGCATCTAGAATATTTTGTTGCTGCTAGCTCAGTCTTGTAGAATATTTGTCTTGGATTGGATGTAGAATGGGTTTTGGAAATCAAGGAGGTAGAAACTTAGAAATTGAATGGGATTTTTGTGAATCTTCAAGGAAGACCTATTGAAACAAGAAAAAAAGGGAATATGCAAAATTTTGAATACGGAAATTGCATTCAATGATCATCTGCTTACAGCCTAATAAACTATCTGTGCTTATCGAGGAACATTACATGAGGTATGGCATGTAATGTGCCTCATAAGCCCACATTGTTCATCGTGGCAGATTATAGCCCAGAAGTTCCATGCAAGATATGAATCACATTTAATTAGGGAATAAGATAAAATAACACACCTTAATTCTCCCCTCACTTAATTATCCAATGGCACAAATACCATTTCCTTTTCCTTTAATTTTGTCCTGACAATTCGAAGCTCCTGTGATTGCCTGTTCCAGTTTATAGAATGCATTTGGTTGGTTACGTAAACATGTTTCTTAATTATGCAGAGTCTGGACAGAATAAAATGTAGGCTACTGGAAGGTACAAATGCTCAGGAGGTTAGGGCAATGGTTCTTGACATGCAAGCTAGGTTGCTGCTTGATATGCTGGGCAAAGGCATTGAGTCAGCTTTGATAAATCCTTCAGCATTAGTACCTGAACCATGGCAGGCTTCTGGTGAGACATTATCTGGCATTGATCCTGAAGCAATGACGGTTGAGCCAAACCTTGTTCCGAGTATTCAGGTTTGCTTTTGTCTCTCTATTATCTCACGTTAAACTTTTGGGTTGCATTGAATTTCTAAGCACTGAAAATCTACTGATAACACCAATGTGTGGCTTGCTCAAGACCTGATTGCCTGTGATATGATGCTTATATCTTTTTCAAGCTAAAGATAAATCTGATGCTTTCAATATGTGATGATGGTTGCATGGCTTGCGCTGTACCTTGGCTTTTATGGCCTGGAAACTGATGACTGACCAAACAATATATTTGCGGTCGTTTAGGCTTGCCAGTCTGCTGTATCCAAGCACTCAGACTGATCTGGTTGAATGTTTCTCTGCCTCCAGTCAACTCTAACATAGCCTCCAGTCAGCTCAAACATCTGCCTATGTTGATGCAGGTTTATGATTTTCTCTTAACTATGGTAATTTCATGCAGGCTTATGTTGATGCAATTCTTGATCTAGCTTCACATTTTATCACACGTCTACGGCGTTATGCAAGTTTCTGTCGCACACTGGCCAGTCATGCTGTTACTGGCACAGGCAGTAACCGCAATATGGTGACTAGTCCTACTCAAAGTTCGGCATCGCCTGCACCAAGTCAGGGTTAGTATGCAGTGTTTAGTGTTCATTGACATAATGGAGAAAGATAAAACTCCTATATCCATAATTTTGTGTTTACTAAAGTTCTTTGGTGTCTGACTTAAAAAGCTGGTGAAGTCTTGCAATATGATCCTTACTGCTTAAGAGGTTACTGCCATAGTTTCTGGGAAAATGTCTCCATAAGTTCTTTTATATTTCTTCTCTCTTTCTCTGGGTATTATGTTCAACACGTTCTGTCTTCTAATACATTTTCTCCAGGTGGTCCAAATGGTGCTACAAGTTCTACTGGAAGCACTCAGATGCAAGCTTGGGTACAAGGTGCCATTGCTAAGATTAGTAGCACAACTGATGGCGTGTCCAGTGCAACTCCAAATCCCATAAGTGGTCCATCTTCCTTTATGCCAATAAGCATTAACACTGGAACTTTTCCTGGAACACCAGCAGTGAGGCTCATTGGTGACTGCCATTTCCTTCACAGATTATGCCAGCTTCTGCTTTTCTGTTTTTTCTTTCGGCGAACTCAACTACCTCGCTCTCTCGTAAGTACACAGAGAAATTCCACTGATACAAATGTGCAAAAACCTCAGCCTGGTGCTCCTGGCAAGGTGGAAGAGATCAACACCGTGATCAATACTGTTCCTTCAAAGCCAGCACCAGCTGTGGTCAGGTCAGATGAAGGTCAGGCAGCTCGAGGTGGTCAGGTAATGCCTGGAGCTAAAGCAGTCGAAGAGGGACCTGCTGGCAGGAACAGAGTAGGCAGTGGCAATGCTGGCCAAGGATACAGTTTTGAGGAGGTAGAAACTGGTGTTCTTTAATTTCTTCTAGTCTTTACAAGTTAGGAGGAATCTTCATTAGACTTTTGGCTTCTTATCTGGCTAAAGATATTCTTTCTGATCTATGAATTGAGAAAAAATTACTTGACTTTCATGCCAATCGTTCCATGTTTGGCCATCCAAAAGGTTTTTGATAATTCTCTCAGTTAAGGAATCATCAAATCAATCAGCAGTGGTACCCTAGATTTAGATAAAGGCTCATTCGTTGCCGTCATGCAGGTGAAGGTCCTTTTCCTCATACTCATGGATCTTTGTCGGCGAACAGCAGGTCTGGCACACCCATTGCCGGTTTCTCAAGTAGGAAGCAGCAATATCCAGGTGCGGTTGCATTATATTGATGGCAACTATACTGTATTGCCAGAGGTTGTAGAAGCATCTCTTGGTCCTCATATGCAGGTATCTATGTTTATGATTTCCTCTTGTAAATGACACTGTGGTTGTTTGGAAGTAGCTTTCCTTTTCCTTTTCTTTTTCAATAGGGACAACCCTCCCTCCGCTTTTCTTTCTTTCTTTCTTTCTTTTTTGGACGAAACGACTGTTCTGCTGACTTTATGTTAAATTTTGTTATGGAATCCACAGAACATGCCACGGCCAAGAGGTGCAGATGCTGCTGGTCTGTTACTCCGGGAGTTAGAACTACATCCTCCATCTGAAGAGTGGCACAGGCGGAATATGTTTGGCGGACCCTGGTCTGATCCAGATGACATGGGTTCAGATGATACTTCTAAGCTTAACTCAGATTCACTTGATTTCAGCTCGTTGGAAAATTGTGATGTTTATTATGGAGCTCATGGTCTATGGCCAAGGAAGCGCAGACTGTCTGAAAGAGATGCAGCTTTTGGCTTGAACACTTCTGTTGGCCTGGGAGCATATCTTGGCATAATGGGATCTCGAAGAGATGTTGTTACTGCAGTGTGGAAGACTGGTCTTGAAGGCGTTTGGTACAAGGTCACTCTTCATTTTCTTCTCTCTCTCTCTTATTTTTATTTTTTTTACTTTTTTTGTTTGGGTCTTGTCAGTTATTTTTATTTTTTGTTATTCAGCCATCTTTTTTGTAGGATTGCTGAATTAAAAAAGAAAATCCAATTTTATGTTATTGTTAAGTTTCGTGTCACCTATCTAAAAGAAGGTACTCAACAAAATTAAGCCTTGAAGTGAATTTAGTCGTAGCTAGCTATGTGAATTATATTCCCCTGGGTATCCCCTATCACTTCCGTATCCACCACAAGGTGCTTCAAACCCAAACCCTCCAATACCTACTTAGTCTAGTCTAGTCTAGTCCCGTACTGGCACTCCCAAGAGTTTTCATAGAACATGGAGTCCTACCAAGGGATTCCCTAGTTATGGATCTCTTTCTGTGGTAAGCATGATGTGGAAGGCATGTGGGTGGCTGTAAATGCATCATGCAATTGAATTTCTGGCCAGATGAATTTTTTTGTTTTTTAAGGACTAAGGAGACCAACAACCATCCCTTTGCATCTTCTTTTTTCTAATCTGTGATGCTGTACTGTTATTGGTCATACATAATCCATAAAGCCATTTTACTATGGATATTCCTTTAGAGTTTATGGTACTAATGACATCACTGGAGATATATAATGGTGTTGAGTTGATATTAGGAGCTGAAAACATGCTCATAGATTCAGACTCCTCGAGTACTATTCCCCAACTCGCATTAGAGTAGGACCAACCATGATTACTCATGGATTCCACTTTTATGTGAGTGTAGTAGTAGTACTATATGAGTACTGAATTATCTTTCCTTGGTTATGAGGATGAATGGTCAAGAGGTTAAAAACTAGGTTTCTATCTCTGTGGTTCATAATATAGAAATGGTCTGGAATTCTTCTCAATTTAATTGTGGTTCTCTTACCATTTAACCATTTATATGTTGTTTTTGTTGCCGATTCTTCCTTCCTCTCTCTGCAGTCTGAACGTGCAGTGTGCCTAGGGTTTTTATCAATTTGTTATACTTACGTGACATCATTGCTATTAATGCAGTGTATAAGATGTTTGCGGCAGACTTCAGCTTTTGCTTCCACGGGTGCTGCAAGTCCACCTAATCAAAATGAAAGAGAGGCTTGGTGGATCAGCCGCTGGGCCTATGGCTGTCCAATGTGTGGGGGAACATGGGTTCGAGTTGTATAGATGACTGCAATTACAAATGTTAATTAGATGCAACTCTTCCTCTTTCATGACAACCAATTCAAGAATTCAAGGCTGGGCATGCATACCTTATCTGATTCTTGACCGTTAAGCAGATAGTGGTGCAGACTGGGACATTTGTAGGATCACAGAAAGCCCTCTTTGATAAGGAGTATATAATAAATTCCTTTTTGTAGTTGCTGCTTGGGGCTTGGAAATAAAGAGGGGACGTTAGCCTGACAGAAGTGGAAATTTGTCCATGATCCAACATGATGGAGGCAAAATTACTTTTTCATACTTCCTTTTGCATCAGTTGTCTGGGGTTATTGGCATCTTCTTTATGGGGTTTAAGGTCTTTAGCCAGCTCGATGGCAACAGGTTTGGAAGGACGGCTTGTTCAGGAGAGCTCCATTAGTGATGATTCCCACGATTTCTCGTATAACATTTGCTTTTCCCCTGATGGAAAGTGAAAAACAAGTAACAGTACCTGTAATTTATAGATAATGAAAAATTGATCAGCATAGCAGGTGTGAATATAATAAATCCATGTTTGGTAGATACATACAACATCAATCATCTGATAATTATCTCCTGGTTCTCAAGTTGCAGCCTCAAAGAAAATGTGTTCATCTTTTTACCAGAACAAAAACAGTCATAACTTGCGTCCTGCTAGTTCTGTAAAATTTTGGCCTCTTTTTTTTTTTTTTTGAATTGTTTCTAACTAAAAGTACTGGTAACTTTTTTTCCTAAAACTCTTTTACAAGTTAGTTTAATTATTGATTCGTAAATACTGGAAAATTATGTATGTTTTACCAGTCCATTTTCGTGCTTGTATTTGATCCCCTTGAAGTTTTGGATTCAATCTCAACTCTTGGTGTACGGAAACCAGCCGGATTTAGTCTCGTCTCTCGCGAGTTAATTTGTTCTTGATTCACTATATATGAAATCCAACTTCAGAAAACTCGTAATTGGTCTGCACTCGAGACTATTTTGAGTAAATTATAAATTGATACCTTTTGTTTTGAGAAATGAATTAATTAGCTTTTTTTAAAAAAAATTAATTATTTAATCTTTTGTCAATAATTTAATTTTTTATTAAATTAGTGATTTTTTCTCAGATTGTTCTTTTTTTTTTTGTTTACTTATTTTTTCTTCTCAAAAAACAATTTGTGAATAAAAATCTCTAATTTAATGAAAAACCCAAGAAAGAATTAAATTATTAATAAAATTAAAATATAAAAAAAATTAAATAATTAGTTTTTGAAAAAAAGAGACTAATTAATCCGTTTTTCTAAACAAGTTGCACTAATTTGTAATTTACTCGAATATTCTTGATTGTAAAGCCTCGTAAAGGGCAAACAAAGAAGAAGCTAAATGGTGGTGGAATAACCTCTTTTTTAAAACTCAAACGACACTGTATTGGCTAATCCCATGTAACTGCCAAATCTCATTTCCAGTTTCTTCCACTTCCTTGTACGTCTATTCTCTTCTCCTTGTTGGGAAAATTTCAAACAAAATTGTCAAACAATTCATTCACTGGAAACAAAAACAATCTCGAAATCATGAGCACGCCACTAGCAACACAATCACTAGCCTTCCGTGTAATGCGATTATGTCGGCCATCTTTCAACGTCGACACTCCTCTCCTTCTAGACCCCGCCGATCTCATCGTCGGCGAAGACATCTTCGACGATCCAGTTGCCGCTACTCACCTCCCTCCACTCATCAACAGCCACCTCACCAATCCTCCCGACTTTTCTGATCTCAGTTACCGCGCTCGATTCCTCCTCCAAAATCCCTCCGATTCCTTCGGCCTCTCTGGCCTCCTCGTCCTCCCTCAGTCTTTCGGGTCCATCTCCTCCTCCCTCCTTCCCTCTCTCCCTGTCGCTAAAATTTCACTCTCTCTCTAAAACTAACTTTTTTTTTAATTTTATTTTTTTGCGTAGGGCGATTTATTTGGGAGAGACGTTTTGCAGTTACATTAGTATTAATAACAGTTCTAATTTTGAAGTTAGAGAGATTGTAATTAAGGTCAGTTAGTGGCGTGAATGTATGATTAACTTTAATTAATCTTAATTATTTTTGATGTTATGATAATTTTGTGCTTTAATAATGCAGGCCGAAATGCAAACGGAGAGACAAAGGATTTTACTGGTAGATAACTCTAAGACCCCAGTTGAATCGATTCGAGCTGGTGGTCGTTACGATTTTATTGTCGACCATGATGTGAAAGAACTCGGAGCGCATACGTGAGTTTTTAATTTTAATGAATGCCACTTACGGGAGTTAATTGTGCGTGGTAGTGGTTTTGTTGTTTGACGGTAGTGTGTGGTGTTGTGATTTGTAGGTTGGTTTGTACTGCACTGTATAGCGACGGTGATGGTGAAAGGAAATATCTTCCACAGTTTTTCAAGTTTATTGTTGCAAATCCGCTTTCAGTTAGGACTAAGGTATGTTTCTTGTGCGGGGGATGCACGAACGGAATCATTAGATATGAATGATTGTGCGTGATTACTGCTAGAAGCATTATTGTTTTCTAACATGATGATTTTAGAATCTTTCATGGTTTTTTCGGTTGATTGTTTTTTTAACATTGGCTTTAATATTTGTCTGTGCTATTTTTCTTTTTGGCAGGTCCGTGTTGTCAAGGTATGTTCAGCTTTTTTCTACTGTAAGTTAAGATCCTCTCGGATAAACATGTGATGCTTTTAGATTTCATTACTGAATCATATGGGAGTAAATGGAATGAACACAAACAAGTAGCCTGTTTCAGAATTATAAGTTATTTATTAATTTTGCAACACTGAAGAAATTTTTAGTTTTTTCTTTCTCAATGCATTTTTTGAAAACCGAATACCTAACATGGGGGTTAGTATGTGGATGATGTATGCTTGGTTTTAGGGTTATACATGTTAATCCAGGATAAGTGCAAGCTAAAATTAGCTTCATTGTAATGTGAAGACCACATTTATGCACTGATATATGTTTACTTGAAACCGTTCAGTTATGCTACTCTTGAGTCTTGACCTAAGGCCAATTTACTACTCCGGTATCAGTTTGTACAGTGTTTATTCAGCCAGATTGAGCTCTGTAATCTTTCTTGCTTAACAATTTTATGATTAATAATGATCCTTTACAGATTTTGGTATACTTTCTGAATCATGTTGGCATCATTTAGATATAGGTGTCTACACTGATGAAGTTTCGTAAGGTCATTTGGGTATGTATTCAGGTTTGTTTGTCCTTCTATAAGTGCTGCTTCTTGCATCTCAGGAAACTACATATTTAGAGGCATGCATTGAGAATCACACAAAAACAAGCCTTTACATGGACCAAGTTGAGTTTGAGCCAGCTCCAAATTGGAGTGCAAAAATTCTAAAAGCTGATGAACACAAATCTGAGGATAATTCTCCATCCAGGTATGACAGATGCATTATTTGGGATGACTTCTCTCAACTCAACACATTATATGCACATTTCATTTTCTTTGTGTGTAATTGCATTTGCTTATAACTTTTCAAAATCTTGAGTAAAACTGATCTTATCACTCTTTAATTTTTTTATTTTATTTTACTATTGACCATACGCTGCTGACAGGGAAATATTCAAGCCACCTGTCCTTGTTAAATCTGGTGGAGGAACTCGCAACTATCTTTACCAATTGTCATTGTCCTTGCATGGTTCAGCACAGAGTAATGTTCTTGGTAAGCTTCAGATAGCATGGCGCACAAATTTAGGTGAACCTGGTCGCCTACAGACACAGCAAATACTTGGCACTGTAAGTGTGCTGCTATGGTATTGAAAAGAAAATTAGGAAGCTTCATTTTTATGTTGACATGCCATCACTTGCTGAAAGGAATGTTCTTAACATTTTAGGTTAGCAAATAATCAATTTAGTTAGCTCTTAACATTTTCAAGAACTGTGCTACCTAATGAACCTGCTTTATAGCTTTTTATATTATTTTAGTGGTAAGTGCAGATACGTGATACAGTTAATGGTTTAGGAACTAATAGAGTAGGGTGAATATAAAATTGCTGAAATTCACTGTAACCTTTGCTGCCAAAATGCCACCAATGCTGGTTTTAGGGTTCTGTTCACGTATGTGCATTCACACTTGCTGTCGTTGTGTCTGCCTGTGTATAGGCACATGCATGGATATATTGCTTCAGTATTGTACTTAGCATCTGGGAATTTTTTTCTGCAGCCCGTCACACCCAAGGAGCTTGAGTTGCATGTTGTGGAGGTTCCATCTGCCATCAACTTGGATAGACCATTTTCGGTAATTCCAGTTCTATTTTTTCTATTTTTGTAAGTAATTTAGTGGCTGTTAGAATCCATCCTTTTTGTCAGGCACTTTTAAGTTCTTATAATTGCCTGTACCAACTTTCATTTTCCAAATGCTGCTTTTTATGAACTTTTCAATTGTTTGAATATTTTGATTTGGAAACTGAAGGAGTCTGTTTCATTCAGGTACACTTGAATCTCACAAACCAGACGGATAAAGAATTGGGCCCTTTTGAAGTTTGGTTGTCACAAGATGATACGCTTGATGAGAAGGCTGTTATGATTAACGGTCTCCAGACAATGGTAATGCTTCAATTGGGCTTCATAGAGTCTTTTTTACTAAAGCTGACCTTATTTTTATAGCCCCATTTTTAGATATGTATTTTTTTATTAAGATATGTGTCTTGCTCAAATGAAACTCAGTCTATCAAGTCTTGCTGTTTGTCACGATAACTTGTCATTAAATCATCATGAGATCTATATATAGGTTTGAACCTGTGAGCTGAACTTAGTAGCACAACTTAACTATTTATTTTATTATTTAGTCAATCAAACATCAGCTTGTTCTAATCGTGTTTGTTTTTTGAATTTAAGGTATGGCTAGGATAGATTGTTCTGAATTGATGAATTGTTTTTAGGAACTCAGATAAATTGTAGAGAAACTTCCATGTTTTGATAATTGATTTTTTTCAAGTGCACAAGAGTCCTGATTTTTTTAATTACTGATTGGTGGATATGACAACTCTTTTCAGGAATTATCCCAGTTGGAAGCATTTGGAACCTCAGATTTTCACCTGGTATGTAGAATTATTCTGACCTGTAAATTCTACACTGATTTAGTTTCTGGTGATGGATTGTGGCTCTTTTTGCTAGTAAACTTTTTGTGTTCTTTCTGCATGACTTTGAGCATGGAACCTTTGCAGTGCATTATTTTAATGACACTTCTGTTTTAAAAAGAGTTCACACAATATTTACCAAACTGGACTACGAGATCACCTTTGTCATTGTTATAAGGGGAGACTGATATCTATGTCCTTTCTTGCTGCTTTTATCTCTGCAGAACCTTATTGCTACTAAGCTTGGAGTCCAGAAAATAACAGGCATTACGGTATTCGACAAATCAGAGAAGAAAACTTATGACCCGTTGCCTGATTTAGAGGTCAGTTGTGTGCCAGTTGGGTGTGTTTTAGTACCCGCTGGCATTTTTAATACCCTTCGGTGCTCCTTTATTTCGTTTTGCCTGATGCTTTAAATATGATGCCCTTTAATAAATGGTTATTCAAACAGTCAATTTGGCAAAATTCCCAAACCTCTGTTAGGTTAGATTGAACCATTGGTCATCTTTGGCCATTTCCAAATTTGGGAATTCCTGCAATTGTGTTGCTACCATCATTATATATAAAATGCATTTGTTACTATTTATCTTCTAATGAGATTTTGTTTTTCCAAAGCTGTAATTTTGAGTTATGTGGATGTAAAACATATTGAATTTGACATCTAAATCTAGCTTTAGATTATCTAGTCTCTTGACTGGTGACTGATGAATGGTGAACTGGCTTGACAATATTCATTTCATTCATAATCTAATTGCTGCACTTGGAATCCTTACAGTCATTGAACCTATCACTTGTTGCAGATATTCGTTGACATGGATTGATCGGTTGGACCTCCTTATCTATTTCTTGTGCTGTGAGCAGTTGTCCATCCATGGAGCAAAACATGCAAATTTTATACCGAAAGCCCTTGTTCCACTACGTTCATGGACTATCTTTTGTCCCACCTTCTAGCAGCTTTAATGACTTGCTGCTGTGCCTCACTAATCTCTCCATCCCCCGGAGCAAGGCCAGATGGATTCGTTCAAGATGATCCCAGGATTGGGGAGGACGCTTGCTAAATGCCAATGGTATAAAACATCTTTTGCAAGCATCTAATGTGATAAAAAGATTTCAGCCTTGGTGTTTTTCAGTTGTGAGATAGTGAACTCTTTTTATCATGATTTATGAAAGCTAGTTAGGCTTTTCGGATCAATGAATTAAAATGATTTTAGATTGTATCCTTGGATTCCATTGTCATTCAACTTCCAGTAGATGATCTACTTCCTAGGCATTTGGCGATGATGCTGAGGGCCCGAGGGCCATCGAAGACAGAATTTTAAGTCTGTATCTTACCATCTCTACTAGGTGGCATTCATTAAAAAAACCAATGCAAAGTTGAGATTGCTTCTGGGTAGATTTAAGATTTGATGATGATGCTTGGATGAGAGCAAAAGGAGTTGGATCGTTGTTTTTTCGATGCATGCAGAGATAGTGGTTCACTTCGGTTCTTTTATTTATTATTATTCATCTTGGGGAGTTGATGTGTGTCGGGACTCGAGAGAGATTTATGGATCACTGATTCTTCTCATTAAAGCTAATCGTCAAGCTTAATCAAGTTGAGAAATACAGGACACCGGTAACAAAAATATGAAAACTGAAAATACAAAATCCAAAAAAAGGATTCAGGGGAGATTCATCGGCCACTAATTCTCACGATAAAAGCCCGATTATGGAACCAAATCAAGGAAAGGGAGTATATACAGGAAGCTGGAAACAAAGAACAAGAGGACTGAAAATTCAAAATTAAACTAAAAAGGAATCAAATTATGCCTTGCAGTCTCGACTAGTCAGGCTTGTGAACCTCCCAAAGCCCAGTTGGCTTCGCTACCAACACGAGGCATGCTGCGAATCCTAGAATGAACATCAACCTTGAAGGTAGCTCCACACATTGCTCCCTCGCTATCAATCCTAGGCAGAGCTTTCATTTTGCCACTTGGATGCTCGAAGCTCATCAAGCCCTGTTCGCTGTGGAACATGCACCCTGATGGGAATGGAGCAAATGATTTAGCGCAACTTCCTTTTATCACCTCCAAGTTGTCAGAAATCACCACTGATCCGTCAGCTGCAACACCCCAGAACAACCCAACCCCTTCATTTGCACCCTGCATTACAAAAATAGGCAAAATCATTTCCATTTCCCAGTTTCCACCTTGTGATTGAACATATTTCATTCATTCTCTAGGGTTTTGAGAGGGCTTACCAGCGCAGCAAAGACCTGTCCTGCCTTGGTGTCATAGACCACAAATCCAAACCTGCCGTCCAGATCCTGAAGAACCTGGTGAGCTGGATATGGGCCACGGTCACGGAGGGTCCGATATGCTTCAATGATAAGCATAGCCTCATTGGTGCACTTTGATAGCCCGTACTGTTTATTGAGGCTGCTCAGGTTGTTCAAGCCCCCCAAGAAAATGCAGTATATGCCATCCAATCCACAGAACAGCCTGCAATTCCATCAGATCATAATATTCAAGATCAGTTCACCTGGGGTATTAACACTACATAAAACAAACGAAAGAGAGTGAAAAGAGGGAGATCAGAGATGCAATGTACGTACCTCTGGTGTCCGGGGTAAGAATTTCCTTGTGAAATATAAGCAAGCAATGCAGCATCTCCAAAGCTCATTGAGAAAGCATTAGAAAGATTAGAAGATACAAAACCCTTCAAAATTTCCTCAGGAAGCTTTGGTTTTCTTGATGAACATAATGAAGCTGGACTATACAGCTCCTGGGGTGGATTCACCAACTCTTTGTTGAATATTGCCAACATCTTTCTCTCTTTCTAGGTACCCTTCAACACTCCAAAAACACAGAAAAAACCAACAATGACAATCAATAAATAGCGATGATAATCTGAAGTTACTAATGGTATGGAGAAAAAGGAGTGAAGCTCGCTGCTATATATAGTATTGGGAGGGATCTGTGGCATGGCGTGGCAACATTATCCAAAATCGTGGATATAGGTAGGAGACATTATTTTTTGGTTAGAAAAATCTACTTTTGTAAAATAGATAGTAAAGAAATAGGATATTCTTTCCTTAACTACTGTTCTAGAAATATTTAAGGATTTAATCTAGGAAGAGCATGTGATTGGGACAGTGAATTGTTATGCCTTTTATTGAAATCGTTATAAAAAGGATGAGGATAAAAAAATTATGATTCGACGAGGGAATTAGTCTTTGGTTCTTATCCATAAGATGTAGGTGAATTGACGATGACAGAGAAATGAGTCAGCAAAACGACAGTAAGTGGTTAAAAACGAATACCAAGTCTCTGCCACGTCTCTGATACGCGCAGCTTCTGAATCAAGCAGCTTATAGACCCAACAGTTGTCAGATCCTTTCGGCCCGGTCAGTTGGATCCAATGACTTTGGTTTCCAACCAAGTTTTAACAACTCATCCTAATAAGTGAAACTTGAAGTAATAGGTTAATACAATGGCGTGTGTGAGTAAAAAATTTATTAATTTATTTATTTTTAAATCTCTAAAAACTTAAAATAATTTTTTTTTATCAAATCACTCAATAATTAACTTTTTACTTGACATCAGTTAATTATTGGATGTTTTTGATGAAAAAGAATTTGATAGATTTCAAAATAAATTAATAGGTATTTCAGATTGAAAAATTTTTTAGACCTTTTTTTTTAATAATCTAATGACAATCTCATTTTATAGTTTTTGTTGGGTTTAATATTTATTTATTTTTTATCATGATCAAGTTCAGGTTATTTTTAATTGTAATAATAATAAAAAAAAAAGGTTTCTCAAGTTCTTTGATTGATGACACACTCACTTTGGCTATTTTTTTTAATTATACTAAAAAATTCTTATGTTGGAGTTTTATTTTTATTTTGTAAGAACTGTTTGTTTCATCAATTAAAAAATTAATTTTACTACCTAGTAGTTGTAGTAGGTGATGCAATTTAACTAATTAATATTGATAACATTAGACTATGTTTATCATTTGATAATTTAATCCAAAATATATCATACAAATAAAAAAATTAAGAATATATGTATAATTGTGAAGATTAGTGATCTCATAAATCGTAATATATTGATAGAAAAAAAAAGCACCACTAATAGTACTAGTTTTGAATTAATCAAAACTTAATACTTTTTAGCAAACAATTTAATTAAATTACGCAACGAATATATAACATAAATTGATGTATTAATTAAATAAAATATTTGGCATTCACAATAAAAATACATATTTTGAAACATAATGGTTTCATTTAGTTAGAAATAATTACCAAAAAACTGTTTTAAAAAAATCTTATATCTAAAAAACTCATCTATTTATTTTTCAATCTTTCGTACCTAAAGTAGTTTTCTTATCAAAATACCTAATAATTAACTAGTGTTAAATTAGCGGTTAGATATATGGTGCTTTAGTAAGAAAAATATTATTGTGAATTTGAAAAATTTTAAAATAAATTGATGGGTTTTTTAGATAAAAGGTTTTTCTATGCATTATACCTATTTTTGTTTTCATGTTTGATTACATTAAATTTTTGGGGTTTCTATTATGGTTAATACCATTGTTATGTAATTTTGTTTCTTAATTTTTTAATGTTTTATTTACCTTAAAATCAAATTAAAGTTACAAATTTCAAAGAGTTGTTAATTAACAAATAGAGTATTTCAAAGGTAGAGAGAACTCTAAGATATAATGATATATTTTTTACTGTTTTAATTTTAGATAAATCGTTGGAGTTTTTTTTTTTTGTTCAATTAGTTGAGAGTTATTGTTGATAACAATGAATAGATTTAGACTAAAAAAAAAATTCTTTTTTTGTTTTCAATCCTAAATTTACTAAGCACAAAGAAGGAATCACGTTAAAAAAAAAAAAAAAATTCAAAAAATGTTAATGGTGGTGGAAGTCATAGCTATTTGAAAGAGTCTGGATTTGGTATGGAACAACAGTTGCCGCCGCCCATTTTAGAGTCTAATTTAGTTGAGGCTCTGTTATCTAAACCAAGGCGGAATTTTGGGTAGGCTTCAACTTGATACTTAGGCGTGTCTAAATTTAGGCCAGGCTCAAACTTAGTGATTAAAAGCTCATCTGACCCAATTATAGTTTATAAACATTTGTAACATCACTTTCCAGCATATATCCAGCCTGTTCCGGCACTGCGAGCCATACAATGTTTTCATACGTTCATCTATATAAAATACTTGACTTCAAAACAAATATTTAAAAGGATCATTAAAAAAAGACAAAATTAAGGGAATAGAGAGACTAAACTATATATCTCATGTGTTGCCGTGAGGTTAACTGAAAAAAGCCTGCAAAATTAAACAATTTAATATTGTTAATTAGATGTTATTTGATACGGATATATGTTTTATTAAAAATATGTATAATAGTCGACGATTGAAATAATGATTTGATAGATTTTTGAATTTTAGATGATTAATTTTCATTATATGTTCCTCGTTTGTAGTTTTTTGATGAGGTAGAGAGAGACCACTCAAAGTGAAAAAACAAAAAAACTTCGTCGAAATGAAATTGAAATATTTAAAAATCTATTTAGCAAAAGATAGGGACAAAAATTACATATGAAAAAAATTAAATGATTAAAACAAATTAAAAATCATAAAATAAGAATAAAAAAACTTTTACTAAAAGTCAAAAAGAACTCACGAATAATAAGACTAAAAAAAACCCATTTTGCATAAGATAGGAACAAAAATCAAACACAATAAATTTTTAATGACTAAAACAAAGAAAAAATCACAAAAAAAATAAATAATAATTTTTACTAAAAGCCAAAAAAAAGGTTTAGGACAGGTGAAACTATATTTAGTGTAGTAAGAATAAAAATCAATAATGATAAAACTTTAATGGCCAAAATAAAAGAAAAATCATAAAATGAAAACAAAAAAAAAGTTTTTCTATAAGCCAAAAAAGTGTTCTTGTAAGAAAAAAAATCAAATATGATAAAACTTTAATGACCAAAATAAAAGAAAGATTACAAAAAAAATAAAAAAATAAAGTAAAAGAAATTTGGCTAAAGTAAAAGTCTATTTTGTTTTAGTATATTTATTAATTTTTAGGTTCCTTATAAATAAAATATTCTAAACTAGGAATGATATATTTGGATAACATGTGTCATCATATAATTTCGATAGATTTTATTGGAATTTATTTGCATATAACATTTAGAAATATGAAGATTCATTCCGGTCACAAGCGAGACATTTATCCCGTTAAGCCATTCTTAAGAAGTGTGTCGAATAGTTTCACTCTTAATAGTAGAACTGGATAATTAATCCCAATTTCACCGATTGGAAATGACATATTGAGTTTTTATGAAATGAGAATAGACAATATTTAAGATTAACGTCATCTAATAAATAATAATTATGATGTTGTTACACTCTTTTAGATTGAATCTTGTCAACATCAAATAAATGTGTCCCTCAAACAGATGTGAGGAGCCTTTGACAATAAAGGAATAGACCATTTATCTCTCCTTCAATGCAACTTAATAAGGATTTTGACAATATCAAAGAAAAAAAGATTCGGAGTTCTAAATCTTTAAACTCACAATTACTATTCATCATCTTCTAAATACTTACCTTATTGCATAAATTCTATTCAAGCTATCATATTTCTCAAAACACTAACTTAACTATTAGAAGGTTCTCTTACCCATGAAAAAAGACTTGTTTTGCAAGTATTTAAGTCGGATTGATTACCATCTATCTTCGAACTCATCCATTGCATCAATTAATAAAAAACTATCTAATCACATATTATCAATAAATCGAGATTCACGAGTCTCGTTAAGAATAATCTTCCTTCTCTGTAAATTTTACCAATTTACTACGTTTTTTTTGTAAATTTCAACACATAGTATGATGGAAAAAGAAGTGCCAAAAGAAAAATTAAAGCAAGGCGAAGTCATAATATGAAATAAGGCTAAAATCCGAGCTATATAGGTTGTTGGATCTATAGACTTTCACCAAGCAATGAGAACCACTTGGAAAAGGAAAAAAATAAATGAGAGAGAGAAAAAACAATACCATTTTCTCCTTTAATGATTGAAAATACCCATTACGCATAAGATAAGAACAAAAATCAAACATGATAAATCTTTAATGACTAAAACAAAGAAAAAATCACAAAACGAAAGAAAAGATTTTACTAAAAGCCAAAAAAAAAGTTTAGAATAGTGAAAGCTGTATTTAGTGTACGAGTAAAGATAAAAACCAATCACGATAAAACTTTAATGATCAAAATAAAAGAAAAATCATAAAATAAGAATGAAAACAAAATAAAAAGTTTTACTAAAAGCCAAAAAAGTGTTTTTGCAGGGACAAAAATCAAATATGATAAAATAATGATCAAAATATAAAAATATAAAAAAAACTAAAAAAAATTAACTAAAAGACAAAAAAGAAAAAAGAAAAAAGGCATAGCTACGGTAAAAGTCTATTTTGTTTTAGTATATTTATTAATTTTTAGGTTCTTTATAAATAAAATATTCTAAATTAGGATTGATATATTCGGATAATATGTGTCATCATATAATTTATGATAGATTTTAATTAATTTTATTTGTATAGAACATTTAGAAATATGGAGATCCATTCGGGTCACAAGCAGGAAATTAATCCCGTTAAGTTATTCTTAAGAAGTATATCGAATAGTTTCACTCTAGACAATAGAATTGGATAATTAATCCCAATTTCATCGATTGGAAATGACATATTGAGTTTTTTTGAAATGAGAATAGACGATTAAGATTAATTTTATC